GGGGGGGGGGGGGGGGGGGATAGGCTCGGAACCCGAGAGCATATATGCCGTTTGCCTCAATAGATGGGGACACGACCCGCCGCTAGCTAGGGGATCAGAAGAGTACTCCGACGAGATCCTTGACATATCGTCGCTGCAGTGGCTCAACACAGCGGAGGCGGAGACAGAACCATCTTTGGGAGGTGAGCGAGCACAGCTGTCACCCAAGAAACGCGGGAACACAACAGCATGAACTTCTTGTGTGAATTTGTTGCGCCGTGAAAAACTCCAAGCTGAAGCTCAGGGCTGCTTTTGCAGTCCGCAACGCTCGATTGCTACATGTTTCAAGTCAGATTCGGAGCAGTAAAGGCAAGGACCGTGAGTATAGCTGGTGTTGCGGTTTATCCTTGTAAGGTCTTTCGGGGGAACATACACCACATTTACTGCAATTGCATGGGGGCATTTTCAACTTTTTCTGGAGCTGGGAGCCTGGGTGAGTGCCACAGGGGCGTGGTAATGAGGCCTGTGTAGGGGTGTTAGTGTACAGTGTACAGGGTCCCAACTCAGAATCCTGAACACGGTTGTTTTCTGCCGCTGCATCAGAGACCCCAATGCCACCCCTCTCATTAACGCAGCGGCGGGCAGGGGGCGGGCTAAACGCCTGAGGGTCGGGCAACTGACCCCCAAGCCCGGCAGAAAGACAGAGACAGAGACAGAGACAGAGACAGAGACAGAGACAGAGACAGAGAAAGAGACAGACACATGTCGAGGAAGAATCTTGCGCCCGCTATCTATCACGTCAGCAGCCCTTTGCTGGCGATGCTTGGGGTCTTCTTGATATGTGCCGGGATGGTCTATATCGTGCTGCCCATCTTGCGGAAGTTTGGGCTTGAAATGAATGATTCCGGTCGAAAACAGAGAAAGCGAGAAGCGGTCCTGAAGGCTTTAAGGAAGGCGCTTGACAAGCCGTTGGCGGACTTTGGCCTGACCTGGCACGATGTGCAGGACTTGTGTGAATGTGCAGCTGTGGGTCTTGATTGCTCCAGTCTTGCCGGTCTCTAGGAGTCCGGTGTGCTTGAAACGGAGACAACCGGCGGGCTGCATGATGATGTCGAAGACCCCCTTGCCTTTATCGAAGGAGCCGGCAGCCAGTGCAGTCGTTCAGACATGAAGTGTCACAGATGCATCGCTCCCGGCAGGCAAGCTGGCTTCCTACCCACTCTTGGCTTTGAAGATGTGCCAGCGCCTGAATGCATGGGTAGGTGCTTCAATTTCGGTTTTAGGCCCCCTGCACGGCATTTGGATCTCCAAATCAAAATCATGGTGGATTCAGGTCTGCATGCGGCACGCCAAGACCCTTTCTTTGTCACCGGAGCTGAATAGACTGTTGTGGGGCGCTGCATCTGGGGTCGCGAAAGTTTGCCTGCGCGATGAGGACACACTCTGTGAAGAGGCCAATTTGGAATGGCACGACTTTACCCAAAATCCAGACCTCCTTGTAAAGGGCGTCAGGGCGGAAAGCTGCTCGGCCAGAGCCAAGCTGGACAGCCTCATTGACAAAACATCCGTCATGCCCCTTCATGATCTCGTGCAAGCCAGGCTTGCAGCAGGCAGTTGCCGACAGGTGGCTTGGTGAGCATTGCATTGTGCTGAAAGCTCCACTAAATCACCATCGATGACGCCTTTGTCCAAGCTTGTTTGCCTTCAGCGATTCAGGGCTGGTGGCAAGTGCAGTGCTTTGAGACTTTCAGCCCAGGATGCCGCCCAGTATGCTGGAGAACTGTGTGGCCCAGCTGATGTTACATGTGCCTCCAAGGGATATAACAAGGTAGGCCTGGGTTATGTTACCTGATTTAAAGGGGGGAGCGCTCAAACCACGAAACGATGTGCAGCTGCACGTGTCGTTGCAAGCATTGCTTCCCGTCTTTGCCAGAGTCGCTGTTACATTAGCGCATAATCGTCAATCCATTGGCAACACCAGATCCGATCCTCTTTCACACACTGCCAGGTTTTGCGCACTCGGGCATGGAAGCTTCGCCACAAGTTCCAGGACGAGGCCACAGAGCAAGAGGTTCCCCTCGAGGATGTCGTGATCGAAGTGCCGTGCCTCCAAGTCGTCAGTTGCAGATCGTGCTGAAAAAGCCACGCTATGCTGAGATGTGCGGTGCGGTGCTCTGCGGGTGCTGTCCGGCGCGGTGCCGTGCCGTGCCGGCGGTGTCGTTTCGCGCTAATGCTAGCAATCTCTGGTCACAAGCTCCCCGGATTCCCCCCTTGCCCCGTTCAAGCTAGCCCTGGCAATTTCTGAGACACCTCTGCAGGGTCCGGGTGCAGAAACGACACCTGTCACGAGGATTGAGCGCCTACCCCTCCCCCCACCACGGGGCCATACATGACGATACCATGCTGTCTCCTTTCAATCGCCAGTCCCTTGGGTCGGATCTGAGGTTGCCAAGAGATGTGGCAGTCCCTCCGAGCTAAAGAAGATGGAGGTCGGTTGACTCAATTTGCAGTGCGGACTGCTGGCCCATCTTCAATCTACACCCCCAGTTAGCACCTGCCGCAGAGAGAGCTTGCGAGGCCGATTGGAGGCTTTTCTCCTCTTTGGTACGTGCTGTCTGCAGGGATCTGAGGTGCCGCACTTGTCAAATAGGTTTTTGCCACCCTTGGCAAAGACCTACTCAGAAAAAGAAACCCTGTCGTGCCTGGGAGGCAGGGGCAGCTCGTCGAAGATGATGAAGATCTCGGGCGCCATCGGAGCACCTCCCGTGCTATGTCGAAAATGATGAAGTCCAACTCCAAGATTATGAAGATGCTCCACTTTGGTGATGAAGACGAGGGTTTCAACGGGATCGATCCCGAGTCTTGGGAAGCAAAGACTTCGCCCAACTTAATCACGGCTTGAAGCTCAGGGCTAGGAAATGGAGTACTGCAAGCAAACTGTAGGATATCTTGGAAAGATTAACAGGCAGCAACATTAAGACAACAAGTGAAACATGAGCGCGACACCCAAGCAACGAGCGAAGAACAAGACAACGACAAAAACACATACACCATCGCCCCCGAGACTTGTTTTTTCTTTGCTTTGGGTAGTTTTCTTAAATTGTTTTTTCCCTACCGTTCTTGTTTTAGCCAGGCCATCAACAAAACAATCGAACAACGAACTAAACCAAGCCAACAGCATCAAACAGCCAACACCTCCCTAACCCTCCGCCCACGCTCCCCAACGGCAGAATGTTTTCTTACGTCTCCTCACAAGATGCAGCATCCGCTCAGGAATCATTGGACTTCGGCCTGTTCACCTCGTTTCCACGACCTGGGAGTCTTTTCTTTCAGTGCATCCCGGTTTTCTGGGTGACGCTTATTGGCATGTCTCTGGATCTGCAGTTGGCAGTTTTGTCTGGGATTCGGTAGGTTGCAGGGCTTCGTCCTGCGGGTTCATGGCTTTTCGGCATCGGATAAGGTGGCCAGAGCTGCTATCCAGCTTCTTGCAGATGATCAGATGCCGAGCAATTACCGTCGATGATCCATCGACAGGCCTTCAACTGATGCAGCAGCGCTTGCGCTCTCATCCCGAAGTGGTCTGTTGGGGTGAGGACCATTTCCTGCTGGCACTGATTGCTTGCATTGGCCTTGGCGTGTGGTGCTTGGGCGTGCCTGTCCTGCTTTTCATCCGCCTATACTGCCTGGATGACCGGCAGAGCCCAGAGAATTACCGAAAGTATGGATACTTCATTCAGGGCTTTGAGCCAGCTTTCTGGAACCGGGCTCAGTTGTTTGCTGAAACATGAACCCAGTGATGCCACGTAGCTTTCGTGGAAGCTGTCCGAAGATCTGGCTCTAAGGTGGTGGGACATTATTGTCAAGCGGGTTGACATCGGCCTCATGAACATCATCACATACACAAACCTTGCAAACGATGAGAAAGCAAAGCTGCTGCTCTTCCCTTTCCTGTCCGGCGTGCAGTTGACGTTGTGCGCGTGGTGCAGGCCATTCACGAATAGCCAGGCCGAAATCCTGGATTTTCTGGAAATGTGCCTGTTGAGTTTCCGCTTCGTGCTCTTCAGTATGGTTGCAGTGATGCTGATCTTCAACCCCTCCGCAGAGATGACCTGGGTTTTAGCGGGTTTTCTTGTCTTGCTCCTTGCCATGGTCTGTGGCTATTTTGCGCTGCACGTCGCCGCGCAGTTCCTCCGCACGGCAGGAGTTGACGAAGACAGTGACGAAGAGGAGGAGGAGCAAGTCGGAACGTCTCCCACCACGCCAATGTCGACTAGGTCCAAACGCAAACGAAAGCAGAGCTGCTTCATGCGTTTGGTAGGCTCGGTTGGGTGAAACAATGCTCTTGACTCTGATGTGCTCCGGGCGTTGACTTTTGTGCACAGTCGGTCGCGTTTAAAGTCAAAGTGCACATCCGGCTCTTGTGGAAATGTCGGTGTCCATGGCAGGCACTGTGAAGTCAACGATCTTGCGAACCTTGGCATTTTTTCTGCAAGAGTCAGACGACGAGAAATTTGTCGTGCAGTGCCTTGGCAGTGAAGTTCGTGTCTGTCGTGAGGTGGAAAATGGAACCTGGTACATGGGTTGATAGTGCGGTTTCAGAGAAGTGCAAGATTAAGGTTGTGCAGATTGGTTTTGTTCTGAAGGTTGTTTGCTGTTTGACTCTGCTGCATGGTTTTGACTCTGTTGCTGAGTTGACCGCAACGGCGAGGGCAACAAATGTAGATCACACAGAATGCCTGCGAGGTGGTCGGTTTTCAAAACCAATGTGGAGCTTGTCACCGCCGGTGATCCGCAAGCCGTGACTTCAACCGGACTTCGTGCACGAATAGTTCCTTGTCATGGAAAGAAGACCCTGGTCATGAACAGAACATGCGAAGCTTTGTGAGTTTGCATGGCCTTCACTGTGCAGCCAGGCAGTCTGCAGACGACCCAAATCACGGAAGCCTAGCGTATACAACCCTGGCGGCTTGTGTCTCATAGATCAGCTCGAGTGATTTTGGCTTCCACAAGCCCTTTCTCGGTCAGACTGTGGAGAAAGGCGTTTGTAGATTCCCGACAGCGGCTGCAGATATTGGACGACCTCGTGATCAAGGGCTGCGACTGGCCCCTCATCCCTGTCTAAACCTTCAGGAACCGCATGGAACAGCGGGACTTTCAACATTCACCGTGAAAGGGGGAGGGACATAGGTGGCAACCGTGCCGCCCACACCACATCCACAGCCACAAGGGAGGAGAAACCAAATCGCTTCTACAACCACAAAGGCTGCGGGCCCTGATCATATATGATGCCGTGTCCAGAAAGCAGGGATTGAGCCCGTTGAGGTGGGATGCTCTACAGTCGTCGTTTTCGGAGGATGGGATCGTCACCGCGATGTAAAATTGCCGATAGTCGCTGGGATTGGACTTTTTGGTGTCATGTGTCATGTTTCTCGGGATTTCCGCAAACTTTCGAAATGCAGGGCAACATCGCATCTCAAACATGGCAGAAATAGCCAGCACCAAAGCGCATTGTCTTGGTTTTTGTGCGGGCAGGTTCCAGACATGCATCTCACTAGAAAAAAAAAGAACCCAGGACAGCGTATGCTTCTGCACCGGGGAAACCGCACCAGAGCGAAGGTT